GGAAGGGACGGAGAAAAACTTTGATGTGAAAGAGAAACATCGATTGATTGATTCTTGTACCTGCCCTGACCGGGGATCAAACCCACAAGCCAGGCATGTGCCCTGTCTGGGAATCGAAATGGCAACCTTTCACTTTATGAGAGGATGCCCAACCAACTGAGCCACACTGATCAGGGCAATTACTTTACTTTTTATTGCATTTTTCTATTACCATTCACCCCCCCACACACACACACATACCTGTTTCCACCTCCACCCATGCCACCCCCAAATTCAGTAAAATTTTAAAATCCTAGAATTTTTAATTTAGAGAAACTAGAACAGTACAGTCTTGGATTCATAGCATCCTAGAACTTGAGCTTCATAGAATTCTGTAAGTTGTTGATTCCTAGGGTGTTAGAATCCTAGAGTACTAGAATTTTAGATTCTGGACATTCTAATAGAATCCTGGAATCTAAAGACCTGCCTGCCCATCTCTGGGAAGGGGCTGCCCCTCCTGTTCTGATGCACTTCCCTCCAGGGATCAAGCACAGGTGCTGGTAAGGGATGCTATGTGGTAATCCCCCATCATGCACTGCTCCATGCTGGGGTCTCTTTCAGCCCCAGGTCCATATGCCACGCTGGGAGAGCAATGTTCAGATTTCAGCCTGAAGGACAAAGAAGGAGAAAAGCAGAGATATGGAAGTAGAAGGGATTCAGGGCTAAGAACGAGTTGGGATAGGGGAAGGGCTCGTTTTCCAGAAAGAGAGCCGAGGCAATACAGCGACAGAAAGGCACAGAGGTAGAAATAACCACACACTCCTCACACCTGGACCTCTCAGGTCACTGGCCTGGTCCCTAATGAGAGAACAGAGGCTGGGGGGTGGACCCATAGACCCTCAGAAAGTCCTCCGCTGCCCAGGGCATAGACCCAGAGCACAGCGAGCAGCCTGGAAGTGCAGTGAGAGAGGGCTTAAGGTTAGGTTTCAGGAGGAAATGCATTGAGGGGTGATGAAATGCCTGAGGATGCAGACGATCCCAAACTTGGGGATTTTCCATATCCCATCCCCCTCCCTACATACACGCCGGAACACACTCCCAGCCACTCCCCACAGAAGCCACCAGACCTGTGGGGGCAGGGGTGGAGCTGTTTTTGTGTTGTAGGTGGAGTCCCCATGTGCCTACATGGTTCCAGGGGACCCAGTTCACCACTAAAGCTCCAGGTGCGGCAAGGAAGAAGGTGGCTCACTTGGCATGGACCTAGGAGAAGGTGTGAGTTTTGGGAGGAGAGCTGCAATAGCAGACGCTGTCAAAGGGACAGACTGGGGATCAGAGGCCCAGAGACAGTGTGTGTCTTCCTTAAAATAACACAGCACTCTTACATCACACATATGATGGGGTGCCAGAGAAAATAGGTAGCTTGTATAGAGTCACGCAGCACCCTGGTGGACATTCATCTTGACCCCTGAGGCATGTCCCAACAGGTATCTATGGGTCCGCCTTGGAGAGCATCACCTCTGGAAATGGGAGGGTCCAGAGCAGCTGTTCCGAGTCACGGACTTCTTCCCTCACCCTGAGTTCAACAAGGATCTCAGAGCTCAAGACCACAACAATGACATCATGCTGATCCGTCTGCCTAGGAAGGCACATCTGGGACCTGCTGTGCAGCCCCTCAACATCAGCCACACCTGCGTCTCCCCAGGCACCCAGTGCCTCATCGCAGGCTGGGGGGCCGTGTCCAGCCCCATGGGTACAGCCTCACCCATGACATACTCTCTTACACCTCATATGGAGGGTCTAAATCCTTCCTCTTCTCTTTCTGCCTTTTCATCTCTATCCACTATCTGTCTACCTGTCTGTCTATCTATCCACCCATGTATTTCATCAAATCGAAGATGCTATAAATTATAAGGTGCTTCATTATTTCACAACCCACTGAGAATGACAGGAAAACAGTCCCATTGACCCTTGTGTGACCCACTTTCTAGAGGACACATCTTGATTTCAGGATGCTTAAATGTAAAAATATATGTATCTTAAAATCAAAATAAGTCCTACACATCTCAGAGTCACCAATCAACAACCCATTAGCCAAATTGGCTTCCCACATGAGTGCTGGTTTTCAAAATGCCTTCATAAAAAAAGGCCGAAATTTGTCGCTGTTAGCATCTAAAACTTGGGAGCTTTTACATAAAAGCCAAGTTTTGGGATTCCCTCGGAAAGAACGGGCAATCCTGGGCCTACATTCCTGAAGGAGCAGCCACTGTTGGATAGAGTGGAGGTGGCACCTGCAGATGAAACCACAACTTCTGCTTCCCCATGAAGCCCTTGGATGCACTTGAGTTTGCATCCATACATCATATACATGGATATATATGGTTAGGGTTATATCTATACACATATATGTATATATATGGTTAAGGTTACATATCTTTATCTATCTCTAGATGCTGTAACTCCCTCTATCTCTGCCAAATATCTCTAAATCTTTATCTCTATGCCTGTCAATGACCTCCCCCCTGTAAATATTGGGGGAATATCCTTCCCTTTAATCCATGGGCTGTCACTGGATATCTTTGGGCCCATTTCTATTTTCTCATTGCCTCCTCTGAGAATTTCTTTCCTCTTAGAGGTCTCTCGCTCCTGCTATAGTCTCTATTTTTCTCTAGGCAAATTATACATGTGTCCTATTGTTTCTTGGCTCTCTGAATCTTTCTGTCTCCCTCTCTCCCTTCCTCTGTCCCGCTTCCTATACATCTGTTTCTCTTTTATGCTGTGATTCTCTTTGTCACCTGCCTCCTGTTTCTTTCTTGCAGAATCTTTTTTTAAGATTTTATTTACTTTTATTACTTTACTAAAGATTATAGACAGAGGAGAAGGGAGGGAGAAAAAAAGGGAGAGAAACATCAATGTGTGGTTGCCTCTCGTGTGCCCCCTACTGGGGACCTGGCTTGCAACTCAGGCATGTGCCCTGACTGGGTATCGAACTGACAACGCTTCGGTTTGCAGGCCCGCACTCAATCCACTGAGCTACACCAGCCAGGGCTCCTTCTTGGAGGATCTTATGATATGGCTCCGTGGATCTTCCTTAAGGAAGGACGGCGGGTGTGCTGAGTGAAATGGGTGCAGCTGCTGACCCTATGTGATCTCCTTCCCCAACAGTGCAGTACCCACTCACGCTGCAGTGTGCCAACATCAGCATCCTGGAGCCTAGACTCTGCCATCGCGCATATCCAGGCCACATCACCAAGAGCATGCTCTGTGCCGGCCTGTGGGAGGGGGGCCGGGGCTCCTGCCAGGTGAGAAGGAGGCTGCATATCCTTCTGGGACACCTGGGACATCCTGAGAGAGGATGGGACCAGGATCAAGAATTCTGGATCTAAAGGAGGAGGGAGCTGGGGACACGGGGTCTGGGCTCTAAGTCCGGGGGGGAAGAGGGTGCTAGGGACCCAGAATGCTAGGTCCAGGGGAGAGGTGGAGACAATTAACTTTTTTGACTCCTGAACCTGGGGGACGAGGGACTGGAGACCTGGATGTCTGGGTTTGGGGCTAGTTAGAAACTGGGGATTCCGGGGAAGGAGTTAGTGGCCTGTGTTGTGTCATAATTAAATTGGCCTAACAGTTTCTCTGCTTTCCCCCGCTCCTCTCGTGTACAGGGTGACTCTGGGGGCCCCCTGATTTGTCACGGGACCCTGTCTGGTGTGGTGTCTGGAGGCGCGGAGCCCTGCTCCAGACCCAAGCGCCCCGCCGTCTACACTAGTGTATGCCACTACTCGCGCTGGATCAGAAAAACAATGAAGGAAAACTGAGCCCTCGTGCCTTGGACGACCTCGAGAGGAGAGCGGGCGTAGGGCAGAGAGGCTCCAGCCTCCGCTGTTCCGGAGAAGCTTTCTGGGTATTTAGAAGGTTTGGCGCAGAGAGAAACCTCCACCCTCCTGGCCCTGTGGAACAGCCTCAGCTGGCGGTCCTGCCGCAGGCACTGAAAGCCGCCAAATAGCTCCTCCCCTCGGAACTTTGCCCAATGAGACGTCCCTGCTTGGACTCCACCCCGTGTGGCCCCGCCCCCTTACGTCAGGGGCTCTGGAGCCTCCCCTAGTGGCCCACAGGCTGGCTCTGGCTCCGCCCCTCTTGGCCCGGCTTTTGGGGGTTTGGGGGGTTCTGAGTTTGAATGCTCCCCGGCACCGTCTGGGAGAAGTGCAGGGGAGGGTCTCGATCTCTTCAGATCCAATGGATGATTTTGCAATAAAAGCGAGGAGCCCTTTCTTCTCTCTGCCTGCGTTGTGGGGTGAAGGAAGGGCAACAGGTGGGCGGAGGAGGGCAGACGGGGAGCCGCCACCGCGTTCAAGTTTCCTTTGAACCTTTAGTCGGTTCTGCCCGAAGTCTTCCTGCATCAGCCCTATTGCAGCAGGCCTCCTGGGTTCTGCTCAGGCTGGTCCCATCACCCCCAGGGAAGGGGGAAACCAGGTCACCGCACCTCCCAAACCTGCCTTCCCACATCGCGGAGCTCTCGGGGGACAGCGGGCGGGTCCGATCCGCCCTCAGAGGTCGGGACCGAGAAGACTCGCCTTTCTTCTATTCGGGGTTATGGGCAGCAGCTCCCCTCCTTTCTCAGTCTCAAAGTCTGGGCCTCAAGCCCACTCATCTCTTGAATTCGGGAGTCCGGACCCCCACCCCCTCCTCATTCAAACCCCGGAATCTAGGATACCATCCTCCTCCTCTTCTCTGACCCAGGATTCAGCGTCCCCAGCCCTGTCCTCCCCAAGATCCAATTGTTGGAGCCCCTACACCTTCCGATTGAGACCCAGGAGTCACAGAACTGAGCTCCTCCTCCTTGCCCCCCTACCCCAAGATTCCAGCTCCCTTTCCCTCAAGAATTTCCTTTGAGCCCCTCAAACCCTCCTCACTCAAACCCAGGGATGCTCAGTCCAGCTCCGGCACAGGAGGAGGCGGAGCAGGAGGCGGGGATTCCCAGTTAAAAGCCTCCAGATTCCTGTACCCGGCAGACAGCTGAAGTATCGGGGCCTGTTTGCTCTGGGTCCGAATCAGTAGGTGACCCCGCCCCTCTGGACTCTAAATTCTCAGCTGCTTGCATCTGGCCCTGGGGCCCCTCCTCCTTCAGGCCCCGGACTTGAACCTCACAGCCCTTTCTCTGTCAGGACCCAGGAATCTGAGCTCCCGACTCCTCTTCCTCAAGATTCAGGAGGAGTCCAGGATCCGAACTCCCTTCTTCCTGGGAACGTAAAAATCCAGGACCCCAGCACCTTTTCTCCTCATTTTCCAGAATGTAGGGTCACACCCCTTTCTAACTCAGACCTAAGAATCTGAGTCCTAGCCCCTTCCTCCTGCAGGGCCCTGAAGAACAATTCTGGATGCTCTGCTCCCTTCCCAATCCCAAGATCTTACTAAGATTTCAGCCCCCTCCCTCCTCACCTCTCAGCCCTTGTGCTCTCCCTCTCCCAGACCCCAGCATGGAACACCCACTACCTGCTGCAGTGTGCACCTGGATGTTCCTGTTTTTGCTGTTGGAAGCCTGTGCAGGTGAGGAGGGCTGGAAGGCACTGGTGGCAGGTGTGAGCCTGTGAGCATGCCGTGGTGGCTATGCGGGTGCATGTGGTGGGGTGTGGGGTGGGTGAAGTGTGCAATTGCATGAGGGGGCTTCAGCAAGCTTGCTTTCCTAGGGGGGGTGGAGCTGGGGCACTGGTGGCAGCAGGTAGTAGTGTCAGGTTATGCTGCAAATTGGCATGAGCACACCAAGCCTGTAGGGCTGCTTTTCGGGGGTGCAGATACACACGGGAGTGTAGAAGCATGTGGATGCATGTGGAAGTATGTGAAAGCACGCTTGGGTGTGTGACTCTGTGTAATGAGGCATGGGCTTCAGTGATTGTATGTGTGTATTCGTGTGGCATCATGTGCAAGCCAGGAGCCCCACACGTGAGGGTGTGTGGACACATGAGGAGGCAAGCAGAGAACTTGGGTGTGTCCCTTTGAACCCACAATGGTGTTCCTGCCTCCCACTCCCCGCTCACCCATGCACCTTCCTGGGGTGGGGAGTAGTGATCCAACCTTCTCCTATCCAGCTGCAGGGCACTGGAGGGCACAGGAATCCAAGGTGCTGGAGGGCCAGCAGTGCAAGGCCCATTCTCAGCCTTGGCAGGTGGCCTTGTTCCAGGGCAACCAGCTGCTATGCGGGGGTGTCCTCATAGATGACAACTGGGTTCTCACAGCAGCCCACTGTGAAAAACCGTGAGTGGATGCCTGGGGCCAAGGTGGGCTGGGCCTGGGGAAAGAGGAGGCGGGGGCTTCCCCTCGGGAAGGAGAGACCTGGGGACCCGGACTCTAAGAGAGGAGGTGTGAGAAAAGAGGGGGCTGAGGGACTTGGACTTCTGGGTCTAAGGGAGGAGGGCTGAGGACTGGGACTCCGGGATGTGAGGAGGGGTTATAATAATGGGACTGGGTCCCAAACTAATCCCTATCCTTACAGGAACTACACAGTGCACTTGGGAGATCACAGACTGCAGAAAGGGCCAGAGCAAGAAAGGGCTGTAGCTCAGTCCATCCCACACCCCTGCTTTGACAGGAAGAGGGATGATCACAAGCATGATCTGATGCTCATTCGACTATGTGGGCCAGCATCCCTCGGGAACAAAGTGAAGCCCATCAACCTGACAGATCACTGCCCTCAACCTGGCCAGAAGTGCACCATCTCGGGCTGGGGCACTATTTCCAGCCCCCAAGGTAGTGGGAAGGAAGGAGGAGCTGGTGGGCCCCTCGGACTCCAGACCAGTGGCAAAACTTTACCCCTAGAAGGAGATAAGGAAGGGATGGTGACTGTGAGGCTGAGATTTACAAGTGGCCCAGATTAGGAACCTTGAAGGCTAGAATATTTTTTAAAGATTTTTTAATTAATCAATTAATTAACTTTTAGAAAGCAGGGAAGGGGGAGAGAAAGAAGAGGAGAGCCCCATCAATGTGCAACAGATACATCAATCAGTTGCCTCTCACATGCCCCCAACTGGAGACCTAGCCTGCAACCCAGGCATGTGCCCTGACTGAGAATCAAACTGGCAACTTTTTGGTTCACAGGCTGGTGCTCAATCCACTGAGCCACACCAGCCAGGGTGAAGGCTAGAATGTTAATAGGAGTGATGGGAGAAAGAACTAACACTGTTAAGCAGGGCTCAAAAATAGAGATGGATGAATGAATGAATGAATGGATACATCTCTGCTTTACAGCAGAGAATGACATGTGAGGCCTTTGTTGTACAGGATTTTATACAATCTCATTAGTAGACTTGGAATACAAAGGATTTGCAGTGGCCCCCAAAGAAACAGACTTCTCAGCAATTTTCCCCTCTTGAACCCAAGATTCCTGGGCCCAGATCACTCACAGTCCAGGCCCTTCCCACCTCAGGACCCACTGTCTAGGTTTCCAGCTCCCTCATCATTCTGGACCAAAACCTCTGGACCCCCACTGAGGTCCTCCCTTAGGAACTTTGGGGTCCAGGTAGCCTCTCATCCTGCTTCACAGTGAAGAAATTGGGGCCCATCTCAGAGAGGTGATGTGATTCACCAGGAAGCAGCAAAACCAGGATTGAGGTCCCTGATTCTCTGACTCTCACTTCTAGAGAGACAGAGGGATGATGGGAAAACCCACCTGTTCATGCATCAGGTAGATCTTAGAACCATGGCTCTTTCCCCTTGTCTCTAGACAAGTCCCTTTCCATCCCTCAGCCTCACTTTCCTCATCTGCAAAATGGGGATAACTAATGAATAGATTTTTAAGCTCCATAAGTGTTTTTGTTATATCTATTTTCTTTATTGGGTGCTCCTAGTATTCAGGGTGGTGCTCAATAAGTATTTGTTGAATGATTATGTAGGTGGGTGAATTAGGGAATGAATGAATGCATCCCTCCTTCCAAAAGCTTCTGTGAAGATTCAATGAGATGTGAGCATATAGCTTCTGGTGCGTCGAGGTGCTAGATAGACATTTTCCCCATCAAGTATGTTGCCCAAAGGCTGATAAGAAAGATGAATTCCACTTCCAGGCCTTAATTCAACACTTACTGGTGAAGATCTGTCAGGCCCCAGGCACTGTACTGTATGACTCCCTGTCCTTATGGAGCTGCATGCTCAGCTGGGAAATTAGACAATAAACAAACACATATAACATGAAATATGAGGTAGAGTTAAGAGCTATAGTGAAGTATTATGGATGGTAAGAAGATAGGGAGTGATGCCAGGGTGTTTTAATGAAAATGGTCAGAAAAGGTTTCTAGAAGGAGGCGACATTTGGGAGAAGTAGAATTTAGCTGAGGTCGAGAACCTGGTGGTCTGGGGGTGGGAAGACTGGACAGAGGGATAGAGATATAACAAGAGAGCACCTGCATGTCCTCCAGTCTCCTGATTCTTAATTTGAAAATTACTCAGGGCAAGAAACAAAAGGTAGAGTCCAATGATCCCACTTGAGGTGGAGAATAGGAAACAGCAGGGACCATGGTTTTGTTGGATGTGGTGAGAAGTCTGTCAGAAACCTCCCTGTGCACCTGTGGGTTCGCAGAAGGGAGGTCAGTCCAGATGGGAATGGTGGGAAAGGGTAGCTCTTTCTGGGAACTTACAGCCTCTACCCCCTCAGAGAATTTTCCTGATGCCCTGAACTGTGCACAAGTGGAGATCTTTTCCCAGAAAAAGTGTGAAGAAGCCTACCCTGAGGAAGTCACAGAGGGCATGGTCTGTGCAGGTGACAGCAACGGGGCTGACTCATGCCAGGTGAGTGACTCCCTAATTAACCAGCTTAAATTACTTCTGAATTAACCAATCTGAAACCTCTTTCTTCCCTCCTCCTTTACCCCATGTAGAGGCTGAAAGCATGGCAGCCAGTGACCCCCAAGAGTTAGCACACACAGAGGTCACTCCCATCTCTATAAAGTGGGAAGAAGATTCAGAGAAAGCCACACTCCCCCAGCAGGTCACACAGTGCAGGGATCAGAAGCGTTAAATAGCCATCGTCATTTTCTTTGGAACCCTGGTCTGCAGGATGAGGTCCAGGGACGGGGCAATTAAAGGAGGTGCAAGGAGATGCCCGTGAGGGAGAGAGTCTGAGGCTGGACCACACACGACCTTGTGCTCCCTGTCTGAGGGTCAGTCCCTGATATTTGTGCTGATTCTGCCATCGACCAGCTAGTCAGCCACTTCTTTCTGGCTCCTGACTGGGTTCCCTGGCACAGCTGCCTGCTCCCATGATGGGTTTCTTGGGGAGCGATGGCCTATTCTCAGTTTTCAGGGAATGGTGCCATGGACTTCACTGTTTCACTCCTTCAAAGATGCCCCATCCCCAAGATGACCAATACTGGGATTTCCCATAGATATAACACTCTCTTTCCCATTAGCTGCACCTCCAGTCCTCAGGGCTCTCACTGGCTTTGTCCTCTTCACAACAGCTCCACCCCCTTTGTCAATGATTGGCCTCTGAAGACGATGCTCCAATGCGCTCTTCCCCATTGGCCAGGATCATTGTCATTTCATCAGAGCTCCTGCCTTGAAGTCCAGTCTCTCTGGATGGTTCCCAGAGACATTTTTTTCCTCCCTGAGACCCTCCCACTGGTGTGTGTGTGTGTGTGTGTGTGTGTGTGTGTAAGAACCCGTCCCCACTGCCTTGTCTCTGGATTGGACCTGCCAGAGCATTCTCTTCTCGCATTGGTCACGATTTCTCTCACTGTCCTTGGACAGTTTGTTCCCGCCTGCCTTGCAGGCCCCACCCCTCTCTCACCAGCTCCCTCCCCCTAGCCGACAGTTGGGAACCAGGAGGACAATGTTCTTATCCCCAGTGGCTGGAGGGGACCAATTATGGTACAGAGCTGGTACTAGATGCTGCATACAGCTGGGCATCTTGGGTCAAAATCTTCCCCTACCCCCTCCAGGGCGATTCCGGAGGCCCACTGGTGTGTAACGGCGTTCTCCAAGGCATCACTTCCTGGGGCTCAAACCCCTGTGGGCAGTCCCAGAAACCTGGCGTCTACACTAACATCTGCCTCTACCTGGACTGGATCAAGAAGACCATAGGCAGCAGGAACTAAGCCTTGGACAAGCTTTGGATCCCCCTCAATAAACTTAACACCATGGCCTGGCTCTGTGCCTGTCTTGCTTTGGCCCTGCTGGGGGTGGGCAGGGAGGCACACAATAGGAGACCGGATGGGAGGCTTGACAGGAGATCTAGAGAGATCAGGACCCCATGGCCACTCTGGCCATCACCTGTGCCTGCAGGAACCCCTTCTTTCTGGAAGGACTTGGAGCAAGGGGAGGTTAATTTCAGGGGACAGAAGACACGTAAGAGTTTTCTAACACCCAACAGCCTGTCCTGTGAAACACAAGCTTGAAAAGGTTTGTGCTTCCTTTTCCTGAGCAGCTAAATTGTTTTTAACCTTTGGGGGGAGATTCTACTTCCTCCATTGTTAAAACTTTGAGATGCTCAGAGTAGGGTGCAGGAAATATACAAACAGCTTAAATATACATTTGTGAACACCCATGAAACCACCCAGGTGAAGAAATAGGGGATTGAAAGCCCCCAAATGCCTGAAAGACCAACTCCCTGCCCCACCCCTACCCCCAGAGAAATAGCAATCTTTCTCACAGCTCAGAGCTGTCAGGAGGTAACTGCTGCGGTAGAAGGAAGTGAGGCACATCATTGCTGGTGAAAATGTGTAGAAAAATATGTGTGGAGTGGGTAGTGGTGAGGATGTAAATGAATTGCAACAAACTGGAGACCGGGTCCCGCTGGTATCTAGCTCCTGGCCCTTCCAGTGTGTTCCACAACTTTCTTGCCAACAGCCATTTAACTCATCCTGTTGATGCTATAACTCCTTTCCCTACTTTACTGCTTCTGCATTTTCATAGTGTTTGCTCCCTCACGCCCTCCTCCATTTCTCTCTCTACTTTGCACCTTTTAACTTCACCTGCAACCACCACCTGCTCCACTCTCCCAGGATTTCTTTTTTAATTAATTCATTAATTTTTAGAGAAAGGGAGCTACCTTTCTCTAATGAGCTACCTGGCCAGGGCTCTCAGGATTTCTCAGATCATATTTTCAGGAAATAAAATTCAAATGGTCCAGCTTAACTTTTCTCCTTAAGAAACCTTGTAGGTCACTGAGTGGCCAATGGTTTGATGGCGTTCTGATTGGGTGACCAATCCTATCCAATCAGTGGGTATTTCAAGTTGTTTTATGAGACGTGGATGAAGTGGTTCTCCCCAGTGGGTGTGGGTGTGTGAAGTGCACTCTTCACCATTGGCCAGGATCACTGTCATTCCATCGGTGCTCCTGCCATGAAGTCCAGTCTCTCTGGATGGCTCCTAAAGACACTGGTTTCTTTCCTAAGACCCTCCCCCTACTATCTATGTGTGTGTCTATCCGAAGAACCCTACCCATTTCTTCTATGTTTGGTAACTGGATTCAACGTTCTCCACACCAGAGGCCAGGAAGGGTTACCAGCTCAGTCCCCACCCACTGTCTCCTCTCTGGATTGGATCCTCCAGTCACCATCCTCTTCTCTCATTGGTCAGGATTTTCCTTCATTGCTCTTAGACATCTTGTTTGTGTTCCTGTACATAGGGAGATTAATTTCTAGTATTAACAATGTGGGTGGGTGATGACATAGAGGCGAAGTGACTTGTCCAGGGTGAACCAGAAACTCAGGAACAGAGAGGACTGTGCAGTGTGGCAGAGGGTCAGAGCACCCAGGAGGGGACAGAAGCTGGAAGGATCCACATAGACAGGGAGCTCAGTTCTGCCTTAGTCGGAGATCACTTGGGTGCAAGTGTCAGAGCCCCATCCAAACTGGCTGAAGCACAAGAGGGGGTTGGCTCACTAAGGTGACTAAAAAGGCTGAGGGCACGGCTAGTGATCAGAGGAAGCTGACATGGGTACCAGAGTGTCAAGGTGTTGGCATGGTGACTTAGGCCAATCAGCTCTCTTTTTTTCTCACTCTGCCCACCTCTTTCTCCCTCTGTTTCCCTCTCTGATGTTTTTCAGCTGTTTCTCATCTCTGCTTGTGTTTTGCCTTCCTTCGAGTATCTCATTCTAGCCTCTGTAAACTAGGAGGGAACATAGCAGCTACAGACTCAGTTAAGCAAACCCAGCAAAAACAAAGACTCCCTTTCTCCTGGCACCTCGATATTAGTCCCAGGGAAGATATCCAATGGGTCCAGCTTGAACAAAGCCCATCCCCACCCTTGGATCCATCATTCTAGGGAAGATATAGTGCTCTTTTTAGCTTACACTGCTACGTGCATATATCTAAGTGGTGGAAGGCCTTACAGAGGTATAATTAGCTGTTACATCAAAACAAATTTAGGAGGCAGCTTCCCCAAAAGTGGGAACATGTTGTTAAAGTAGGAGGAAGTGAATCCAGTAATTCAGAAACAATGGGTCCTGAAAACCCAAGGTGATGAATCAGAAGATTCCAGGATCATTGTCCCCCAGGGCGTGACACAGCAGGCAGGACACTCAGATGCTAGTTCTTAGGTGTGATCATGAGCTAGAACATGAGTCATCAGGCAGAGGTTCAGGAGACAGGTCGAAGAACCAGGGTGACAGGAGTTGGAATGTGTGGGTAGGACCTGGGAACAGGTCTCGGGCTAAACCAAAGGTCATGGCAAGTGTGGGACTTGGGATTCTTGCCAATAAGGGGGTTGCATCATGGATTTATTGTCATGGGGTCCTGACTTTATTTTCAGCCAACTGGGAATCTGACCATATGGGAGGGTTTCTCAGGAAAATTTCCTTTGTAGAGCATAAGCATATGCAATAGTGAGACCATCAGCAGCTCCCAGCATTCGAATTCTGCCTTCTCTGGTTCCTGAACTGAATGACTTTGCTCAAGAGGCCTCATCTACTTTAAAACTCCTTTTTCTCACCTGTAAAAATAAGGAAGACAATACTCACTTGAATCTATGTGAGGAATAATGACAAGTCCCAGCAAGTGTCGGACACACCATACTAAACATACAAGAAATTGAAGTTGCTTTATTCTCTGGATGATGTGGCAAGGCAACTAATATTAGTTCAGTTCCTGCTAGTTCCCATCTATTTTTCCTTCATCATTTTATTTAATCCTCTTATTTGTCTTCAGATGTAGTTTCGAGAACTTGGCTTGGATTGATGTACTCAATATTGTGTCAACATTTCTATGTTGTTATCAAATGGACTATGTCGGAGATTTTGTGAAAGAAAGGGTCCAGGAGGTGTGTAGAGTTGACAAAAGGGTGGAGAAAGAGTTGCACGTGCAAACGAGGTTAGAATTTCAGGTAGAAATTGAGTTGGGAATTAGTATGGGGCTGGGATTTGGAATCACAGTGCTAGGACTGGTGTCAGAGGTGAACTGAAGATGGTTTCGTAATGAGGACATCAACATAGACTTCCTGGAAGAGGACAGAGAGGCAGAGAGAAGTCTGAGTTGTGCCTGGAGTCAGGTTGGGGACCACTCCATGGAGACACCTAGTGTTTGGGACAAGGTTTAGTATTTTCAACCATGGGTTCAGGTTCAAGTTGAATCTGGGTTAAGGCTGGTGGAGGTGTGAGATGTATCTTGAGTTGATATTTGGAGTCAGGAGCTTGGTTAGGAAGTAGATAGTACATTGAGGTATAAATTGGACTTGATCAAGAATAAAGCAGTATTGAGGTTCAGGATTAGTTAAGACTGAGGTCTCAGGTTAAGTCTCAGGCTTGTGTAGAGGTTATAGTTGACAGCTGTGTCATAGTAAAGACTGGAGTTGGAATTATGGTTGAAATCAGGGCTGCAGTGCTGCCCACCCCCTCATAAATTCTTGATAAAATCCGACCATGCCTTCTCATTGAATTTGATGCAACACTGTCCATCAAATGAGAGACCTCGAAGCCCTAACATCCCTATCTCCTTCATCACAAGTTCTGTTCAATCCATCGTTGTGGTCTGTTGATTTTCCCTCCTAAATGCTTCATGAATCCTTCCACTTGTTACCTACCATTGGTTCCTCCCCAATGGCCTTATCTGAGTCACCATCATCTCTCACTTGGACAACAACAATGGCCTTTTCATGTCTGTTCATCTCCTTCGAATCCTCCTCCATAGTAGCCAGAATGATATTATGAAAATACAAAAATTTTATGTCATTTTCCTGAATAAAGTCCAAGCAGTTCACCATTGTCTATAAGGTAAAGACCAACTCACCATGATGCCCAAGATGCTTCGTTGTCTGGTTCCAGACATCATCTGTTCCCTGAGCTCCATCCACATTACCCTTCAATCTCAGGACCTTTGTACCTGCTTTTTTTTTCTACGTGATATTCTCCATTTTTTGTAGTTCATGCTTATTGTTCTTTCCACTCCCAGGTCTTTGTTGCCTCCTGAGTCAAATCTCCTTGGAAAGGCTTTTATAATTCTTTGTACCTTTATTTCAGAGTACACATTAAAGTAAATTTACTATCTTTATATACCAGTGTTATGATTATTTTTTCTTTTTAAAGTTGAGTGGCACTTTTTTGAATGAAGGAACTCTTTGTGTCCAGGTCTGTAGCCCACTCTGCTATAGAGCTAGTCTCAGTACATATGAACTAAGTGAATAAATGGTTGAGTCTGAAAGATGCAGTGGGAAGAGAACAGCAGAAAGAGCTATGCTGCAGATAAGATTGGGTGTATTGGTTAATTTGGATTCCACATAGACACTCCAGTTAGAATTAGATTTGGATGTATGGTTTGGAATCAAATTCTCAACTTGATATGAAATTTGGACACAATGTTGATATTTGAATTTAAAAGAAGAAAAAGTTTGGCTGTGGCAACAACAAAACAACAAAACTTTAAACAAGAAAGGAAACCTGAAGATGACATGAGATGGAGGGGTTCCATGGAATGTTAATTCACCAGCTCAGGAAACTCACCAAAGACCCTGACTATCTCCATCTCCTTGTTTGTCCATCTCTGGGGCTATGGCTTTGTCTATTGGTAACTTTACTCTGTGGTTCCAAGAGGGCAGCCTCACTTCCAGAATTTACATCCACAAAGGACAACTGTTTAACAGAAGACAGAGAACTCCTCTTGTGTCTCACCCTGGAAAGAAGAAAGCAGTTCCCAGAAGTAGCCCAGTAGTTTCCCCCTCACTCCTCATTGGTCCTCACTACATCGCATGTCCATTTCTAAATCAATCCCTGCAAAGCAGAATATGGCTCTGTGTTTGGTGCAGTAACGCTTCTCTGTACTCGCCAAGAGCAGAGCAGATTACCCAAACTAAATCAAGGTTCTGACAAATGGCAGATGGAGTTAATGCTTGGGTAACCCACAATATCGTCTATTATGGAGCCAAATTATGGGGGACAGGGAGAGAATTGCATTAGAGGTCAAAACTGAGGTAAAAATGGGCTCACACTGAGGAATGAAACATATTTTGGTGTTCGCTCTGCTTAGGATTCAGTGATTCCCAAGTAACTACATGAATCCATCCACCTGCTCCTTCAAGATTTTGTTTAAACATCCTCTTCACATGGAGTCTTTCCAACCACCTTTCCTAAGAGTATAGCCACAGGGCTGCTGAGAAAAAGGGAAACCAATAATGCCCTATCTCTCCTTCTGGTCTTATTTTTCTCCATAGCACTTATAGCCACATAATGAACTATAAACTTGAAATCCTTCTCTTTCTCCTTCTTTACTAAAGAATACCCCTCACTGGAATGAGAGCTTCTGTGAAAGAATTTTGCCCTTTTGTTGATGCTGTGTCCCCATCACCCAGAATAGATTCTGCAACAAAGTAAATGTTCAGTGGAATTTCCTCAGTGACTACAATGGGCAAAGATGAATATACCAGAAATTCAACTTGCCTTCGATATAATGAAACTGACTCAAATCTACTTCAAAATGAAGCAGACTATATAAATCAGAAAAAAACTAGTGTAGACTATTATACAAAAGTATAAAAGGAGAAGTATTATAAATGCCCTAAGACAAAAAAAAATTGTTCAGTATATTCTATAGAGTAAATAAAAGGTAACGTTCGATAATGTTGAGCACAGACATTTTTGTTACAAATATGTGATACGTATAAAAATCTAAGTGAAACAGTAAACAGTTTCACTTAGGAACAGTTTGGTGGGTGGAGTTAGCAGAGCCTTCTTATTTAATTCACCCCCATACATTAGTCTTGGGGTTGGGTTCAAGCTCAAAGACACATCTGACATTCAGACTGGACAAGTTTCCACAGGCTGCCCAGAGTTAGGGGGAAAGGTCTAGGGATTGAGGGAATGAAAATTGGCCACCCTGTAGAACCCAGGACACAGTCCATTCCTGAGTTGGGCAGATCCCTGACCCCTGTTTCTGCACCCGGCCCCTCCCTGGGTAGCTGCCACTAGGGATGGTGGATCTAGAATGTGCTGGGGCCAACCTCCCTGGGTACTGCCCCAACCTGGCCTTGGAAGTGGGGGGAGAGGTAGAGTTCATGCCAATGGCTCTAGCTGCCTCAAGAGTTCCAGATAAGAACAAATGCAGGTAGGAGCATCCCAGAGTTGAGTTCACCTGCACTCCACGACCCTGGGTTTTGGATGGGGTGTGTGTGCTATAAGAAGGCTGGTATTGCACAGGGCAGGGCACAGTTGAACCCCAACCTGCTCTGAAGCCCAGATCATATCAGACCCACCGCAGGTGAGGAGCCTCATTTGGGGTGAGGTTGGTGCCAGTGGATGGACAGCTGACTCTTGTTCCTAAGCGGGGAGCAACAGAGGCCAAAATTTCTGGTTGTGAGAAAGAGGGGTGGGAGGCCTGGAGTTTTTGGTCTTTTACCTAAAAGGGACTTGGGATACAGAATTATAAATGTGGCGACATAGGAAGCCAGATCCCCAGGTCCTAAGTAGAGAAGGGTGTCTCCAGCCTAGACTTCTGTGGATGAGGAAGAAGGAAGGTGCAGACTAGGGGCTCCTGGGCCTGAGGGTGCAGAAGGGCCTGGGGACCAGGACTCCTGGTTCCTGAACTCTCTGTCTTTCCAGTCCCAGCAGAAGACGCCTTTCCTCCTTCCTCCGAGCAGCAGCCCCCGGACGGCCCCAGAGGCCACATGGCAGGTCCCCGTTTCTCGCCCTTACTGATCCTGCTGCTGTCCTTAGCCCTGGGAGCTGCTGGACTAGAAGGTAAGGGCCAGATGGGGAGGCCTGACCTTGCCCTATGCCTGACACTGTCCTCACCTTCTCTGTCCAAAAAGTCCCCCAGTTAGGACCCCGCCCCCTGCAGCAGCTTCCTCCCAGGCAGACAGGGCTCTCTTGCTGAGGCCCCCTTCCCTCCTGCTTCCTTCTGACTCCTGGGGTCCCTGTGCCCTCCAGGCTGCCTTCTGCCCTCCGTGTCTTTCCCATCAGCCTCTGGGGTTGTCTCCAGACCAGGCGCCCCCCACCCCGGGTCCCAAGCAGGCTCCCTCCGTGGGTCCCCATCTCTGTCTGCAGCTTTCTCTGCCCTGTGCTCAGTTTCTGCCCCAGCCCTTATCCACGCCTTCATGTCTGTCTCTCTCCCTCACTGTCTCTGAGCATCCATCCCCTGTGACCTCAGTCTTCCCCTGGTGCCTGCTACCCACGCTCTTTCCATGTCTCCATGCAGCCAACAACACCGGCGAAAGGATTATTAATGGATTTCTGTGTCCAAAAGGCAAGCAGCCCTGGCAGGTGGCCCTGTTTGAGGGTCATAAGTTCCACTGTTCAGGTGTGCTACTCAGCGAGCTGTGGGTGCTCACGGTCGCCCACTGCCACCTGAGGTATGTGACAGGGGAGCCACGGCGACTCCATTTCTCTCTCTGCGTCCTCCTCCACGTCTCTCTGAGCCCCTCCACCTTGGCCCCGGGCCTCTGTCCCCTTCCCTGTAGGGCTTGGTCCCCCCTCTTTCAGTCACATGGTCTCTTTCTAAGTGCTGCTTTTTGTTTTTAAGTGAGTACCTCGTGCAAATGGGCAGTGATATTTTACTCCATGGGGATGGGCAGAGAATCAGAGCCACAAAGTCGTTCATCCACCCTCGGTTTAGTGAAGTCACGCATGTTAACGACCTCATGCTGGTGAAGCTGAGCGCTCCAGCCCCGCTGTCCTCAACGGTGAAGATAATCAGCGTGTCCTCCCAATGCAAACCTCCTGGGACCAAATGTACTGTTTCCGGCTGGGGCAGCATTGCCATGGATATAGGTGAGGCTGCCTCTGGGACCCATTAAACCAGACATGGCTCCCTTTTTTATTTTTATTTTTTTCAGATCCAGGACACAGGTAACAGACCCAAGATCCCAGGCCCCCCATTTCTCTCCTCCTTCACTCTGGCATCCAGTCACCCAGGCCCCCCACCATCAGACTCAGGAGCCCTGAACTTTAGTCCCCTTCCTCCACTCCCACTTCCTTCTGTCCCAGAGCTGAGACTCTGTCTCACACACCCAGGAGTTTAGAACCCCATCCACCTCTTCACCTAGACCAACAATTCCTGTACCCCAGATGCATCTCCAGAGACCTGGGTATGGAGGACTCAGCTCCCACCTCCCTCAGACACAAGAGCATTTGCCTCTAGGTACCTCTTCCCACTAGGGACTGAGGGCCTGAGCATCCAGGCCTTCAGTCCCTTCCAGTCTCAGTCCCAGAAGGTCAAACACAAGCCCCTTCCACCCTCAGGACCAGCTGTCCAAGAGATATGTCCCTTTTCATGAGCACAGCATTGAGTCACCCTCCTCTTCTTCCTTCAATGTCCAGGGCCCCTACTCTTTACATCAGGCCCTGTGCGTCCACCGGACCAAGCTTCTGACTGTCCTGCTATCTTTCCCAACAGTGACATACCCAAAAGCGCTCATGTGCTCGCACGTAAGCATCTACCCCTACATGTACTGCAAGAGGACTTTTCCTACAATATCGAGAAGATACATGACCTGTGCTGCTCCCCCCAACAGACTCTCCTACATGTGCAAAGTGAGTCCCCTCCTCTCCTGTCCTGGGTCCCACTTCCTCTCAAGGTGGATGGAGCCTGTCTTCCTTCTGTCCAGAGTCTGGGGGCCTGGCCCTGGTGCCCAGCCTCCCCTAGCACCTGGCCAGTCTCACTGTCCTGTTCTCTCTGCTCAGTCCTCTGCCTTCCTCAGAGTGGGAGCCCGGGATGGGGGCCCACGTGGCCCTGGGGGTGGGCACAGGGTTGAAGATTAGAAACTGAAGGTGGGGAAATGGGTGAGCCTATGGAAAAAGCAGGGAGGCAGGAGCTACTAGCAAAACTTTAAGGGGCACCAAAAGCTCAGTGACCAAGATGACTCCTATTCCAATGAAATATTTAAATATACTTCATGCAAAAAAAATTGATGTGAACAAAATATCAAACTTTCCAACAAAGAGCAATCAGAATTGACTGATTTGCCACTTGCCTCGGGCTCCTATGGGGTTCAGCACAGCACTGTGCAGACCCTGTGTTTATCTACAGTTGGAATACTGCTTTGTCATAAGTATAATTCATATTAAATTTGATTTTTAAGGTATGCAGTAAAATACTCACTGCAGTCACTGAGATGTGCCTGAGGTTAACGTCCTGCTTCTATGTCTTTGTTCCTGGTCCTAATTCTTGGAAAAGAATTAGCCCCTCCTTCTCTTGGTCCCCTCTCCCTCATCTCTGTAACCCCCTCTCTGTTTCTGAGAATAAACTTGCCTCATTTCTCTCCTACACCTCATTTAATTTCCTTGTTTTCTTCTGATCCATGTGGGATCTCTTCTCTTCCTTTCCCTTTTCTTCCTTCCTCCTTCTTCCCTCCTCCCTCTCCTTTCTCCTCCTTCTCCTCCTTCCTCCTCTTCTTTCTTCTTCTTCTCCTTCTCCTTCCCCTTCTCCTTCCTTCTCCTCCCTCTCTCTCTCCCCCTGCCTCTGTCACTCTTACTTTCTCCATCTTCATCTTTTGCCACACGCCCAAGATTTCTGCTTCTCTTTCTTCATTTTACTTCCCTTTCTTCTCACCATCCTTCTCTCTACCCCTCTCTCTTCCACTCCCATCTTTTACCTCTTAGTACCCCCACACTCTTTTCTCACATCTGCACTCTCAACTTCCAGGAAGGTGAAATGGTGTGTGTTAAAGGGTTAATGGGGCAGGGATGTGTGTTCTAAAAACTCGGGGGCTCCCCTTGTCCCCTACTATTGTGCAAGCTATGTTGGAACACAGAGCCCCACATTTGGGACAGTCCCACATTTGGTTTAACGCATCCCTCCCATCTTCTTAAATTTCATATATTTGAACCTGGTAGTCCGTACTTTTACTTTGCAATGTACCCTGTAAATTATGGCATTGGTCTGGCCCCTGGCTTGAGGACTACCTTGTTGCCCAACCCTGGATAAACAAATGTATCAGATTCCCTGGAGATAATGCTCCCTCTTCTAGTGCCTTGACAGAGTAGTTCACTATGGGGGGAAAAATTTGGGCTCTGACTTCCTGGAAGCCCCCCCCACTCCCTGTGACTGGTCCCATTGGCCAGTGCTCAAATCAACATGTTCAGAAAACACCGTTTCTCCTTTCCAGGGTAACATTGATTCTTACTCTCCCATTGGTTCACAGAGGCAATGAGTCTCTTCTCATTGGCCAGGGTGGAAGGCTGGGGTCTGGCAGGACTAAGACTTGATAACCTCAGAGTATATGAGACTTCAGTGTTGGTTGCTCTGGAGCTAAAGCTAATCTCTTTCCCTTCCAGCTTGACTCGGGCAATCCACTGATGTGCGGAGGCTCCCTACAAGGCCTGTTGTCCTCTGCATATTTCCCTTGTCGACCACCATTCGACCCAATCATCTACATCCGCCTATGCAAGTACCACAAGTGGATTTATGAAACCATGAAAAGTAATTGCTAATTTCTCCACACTCTCACCTCTCCATCCCTATGCCCTGAACAGGAAGTTCACATAAATAAAGACATCCATGATTTATAGCCATATTTGACTTTAACTTTATCATTTTCAAAATCATATTAAAATGTCAACAATATTCTAATAAAGATCTCACCTATAAGTGGAAACTAATCAACAAAACAAATAAATGAGCAAAAAAACCCCAAAAACCAGAGTCATGGAAGTAAAGAACTAACTGACAGTAACCAGAGGGGAGGGGAGAGGGAGATAACAGTAGAAAGTAGAGGAAGGGTCAAGTCAAAGAACATGTACAAAGGACTCATGAACAAGGACAATGGGGTGGGGATTGTCTTTGGGAACTGGGGTTGGATAGGGCAGGGGAGAGCAACAGCAGGGGGAGGGCAGGATGGGGACAACTGTAACTGGACAAGAGTAAACAATATATAAATAATAAATAAACAAACAAATAAATAAATAATTTTAAAACCTATAAATAAAAACAAAACTCAAAAACCTCAGGTCTGGTAAAGGTGCAGTGAGACCTGCAGTTTCACCACTGGGACTGTAAATTGCTACAATGTTTATAGAAGAAAGGCAAAGCAAGGTGAATCCAGGGTCTTATTGATTACTTTTGACCTAGTAATTTTAGTAAATCCAAAATGTGGGCAGGATTTGAAATCATCACAACATCGTTTGTCATAGAACAGTGGCAACACTGAACATGTTCCAAATTATTGGATTTTTTTATGTAAAACATAAACTGATGTAGGAAAAGGATACTAATGAAGCTTCTCAAGATAATATTTACGAAAAATTATTGCAAGAAATGTTATGCAAGAATGTTGATGCTATCTGACACAAAATTTAAAAAGATACAACAATGTATATGAATGGAGTCCTCACCATGTAAAATAAAATGGTCACCGAATAAAACTGGACAGAGCATGGACCAACCACACATGGACATAGTCATGAGTGCCTCCTTCTTTCCATTTTCCTTTCTGTTCCTGTGCACTTTTATAACCTGACAAATGCAGGTGGAAACCTCTGAAGAGCTCAGGTTGGGGAGAGACCTTAAAAGAGGGAGATGGGAAGGGAATATGGATCTGATTCTGAGTTTTCACTTTGTCTCCTTCCCCCAACCCCTCACTGGCTCAGTGGCATGTTTGTGTACATTTTCCAGACCTCAGTTTTCCCACCCAAAAAAATGAGGGAGAGAGGAAAAGGAGAGGGAGAAGGAAAAGAGGGAAGAAAGGAGGGAGGACAGAAATGCCTTCTTCATAAGTGTGCAAAGGGATGGGAAAGAGGTTTTGAGCATTTCACAGGTGACAAAGAAGTAGAGAAGGAGGGTTTGCATAACGGATAGTGCTGGCTCTGAGACAGGACACAGGAGTCCAGTGAGGGCCTGCTCAAGTGAGCAGCCAGAGTCTGGAGTGAAAGAGGCCAGTGGGGGTGAGAACCTGGGTAAGTGGGCTCCTGTCCTCACAGAATTCAGGGGCGGGGTGGGGGGGGGGACTCTGGAAGGAAGGAGGGAAGAGGAAGCAGTCCCCTGTGACTCAGAGCTTAGCAAGGTCTCCTGATGCTTGGTGTCCTGGACTCCCTGGGCAGTCAGACCCTGTTGACTGAGGGATCTTCTCCCAACCAAGACTCACCATTTTCAGGCACTTTTCATGTTTTTCTCTGAGAAGTCCCTTCTAACCAACATCCTCCAGATATTTCCTCATGTCATCTCATCCCTCTTTTGTATCTTTCTGTACCCACATCTAAACACCTCCATATTGCAGACATTTTGCTGAAACAGATATTTTGCACAGGGGAATCTGAGAAACCCCTCCTCCCACAAAATACAGAAGCCAACCTTCCCAACCTCCCCTTCCTCAGACCCAAAGTCTGGACCCCCAGTCTCTGCTCAGACCTGGGAGTTTGAACACCCAGTCACCTTCTTTCTCAGACCCAGGACTTCAAACCCCAGGTCATTCATATCTCAGGCCCAGAAGGCTGTAACCCAATATTCTTCTTTCTCAGACCCAGGATCCAGGCTTCAACCCCTTGCTTTCTCAGACCCAGTATTCTGGCCTCACAGTCCCCTCCTTTCCACCCTAAAGTTCAGACCACTAGCCTCGCCCTTTCTCTGACCACTGACGAATTGAAAAATGTCTGGGATTTTGGTCACCGACCCCCATGAAGCTCCATCACCTTCCCCTCTCCCCCACATACTACCCCAAAACAATATTCTAGCTAAAATTTTAAAAAGTAACAAAGCCCAGTAGTTGCACTAAGTCTGTCTGGAGACTCCTGGTCCTGCCTCTCACCTCGTTTACACAAGCCTGGAGGCAAATTCTTTGCCATGACTTGTGATAACCCTCTTGGAATTCATACAAAGGAAAGCCGAGATATCACTAGGATTGGACAGATAGTGAGATGGAAAGAACATGTTCCTTCTACAGGGCATGCAGGATAGTTAACATCACATGTAAAGAGTTCACCAGGGTAGTCAGGTAAAGGACAACAATGAGGAATGCTGGGGTCATCTCTTCCCAGTCTCTGGGTATTTATCTCTGCAGTTCTGGAGAACAGATCATACTGACATTTAAAGTTGTTTTTATTCCAGATGCACAAAACCAATGGCCAGGGCCTGCTCAAGGTTAAGGTTTATCTATCACATAGGCCTTAGGACATGACTTCAGGCAATAACCCACTCAGTTAAAAAAAAATGTATGATCAGAACATCTTGTGGGGTCACTTTCAGTTACTGAACTTCTCTGGCTTGCCAGGTAGTTATATTCTTGCTCATGTTTCTCCTCATCTCATCATGGTCTTGAGTCACTCCAAGACCCCACACTCCTCCACACTTCCTCATGTTGTAGAAACTCTGCAGCCATTGATCCACTATGCCCAAAAAGTTAAGACCCCTTCTTGCACAAAACTAGGAGCCAAGTCTCCCAGACCCTTATCTCTCAGATCCAGGAGTCCAGACAGTTCCTTCCCCAGGACCACAGTCAAGGTCCCAGCTCCCTTTCATTCTGAGCCCAAAAATCTAGACATCCATCGAGATCCTTTCTTTGGTAATTTGGAGTCAAGAGAACCTCTTATTCTTCTTCACAGTGAAGAATTGGGGTTCATATCAGAAAGGCAATGTGACTCACCAGGAAGCAGCAAAGCCAGGTCAAGTCCTACTGATCCATCACTTCTTAAGAGACCATGGGAGGCTATAGAACCCACCAAAGGCATCCTGGGCTGTACTGAGGACCAGGTTGCCTGCTGTGACATTACCAGTGACTCCCCACCTTTCATCTTCCATGTTGAAGCTGACATTGTCCTCAATGACCATTGTGTCAAGCTCATTTGCTGGTATGCCAATGAATGTGACTATAGAAACAGGATGGTGAATCATATGGTCCACATGGCCTCCAAATGCTAACAGGTCCCTGGACCACCAGCTTGAGTGAGAGGAGGAGACACCCTCAGTTACTAGGAAGCCTTTGTGCCAAGTCTATCCCAAATCCAGTGATAATCCCCTGGCCTCTGTGTTTTTCATACCAAACCCCCTGTATAAGGATGGGGGGCCTGGGGAGCCATACCTTGTCATTCATCATCAATAAAACTTTACCTCCCCTCAAGAAAAAGCTGTTGTGAAGGTTATATGAGATGTGAGCATGTATACAGCTTTCAGCTCCTAAAAGGGCCAGGGAGATATTTTCCTTCAAGTCTATAGCTCAAAGGCTAATAAGAAAGGTAAATTCACCTTTGGTCATTAATTCAACATTTACTTGTATGGGTCTGACAGGCCCCAAGTGCTGAGTTGTATGAGTCCCTTTCCTTGTGGGGTTGCCTGATAGGTGGGGGAACTAGACAATGAACAAATACATATCAAATAAAACAAGATATAGGGTGAGTGCTATAATGAAATATCATAGATGACAAGAAGGTAGAAAGTGATAGAGGAGTGGTTTTTTTTATTCTGAATGGTGAGAGAGGGCCTCCAGGAGGAAGTGATGTTTGGACAAAGTAGGATTCAGCTGAGATGGAGTACTTTGGGGTCTGGGGTGGTAAAACTGGGGAGAGAGGCTCAGGGTGTCACAAAGGGCTCCTCCAAATCCTCCAATTCCCTGATTCTTAATGTTAAAATGACTCAGAGAAAGACACAAAAGGCAGCTCCAGTGGACCTTTTACTCTAGGTGGAGAAAAGGAAACAGCAGGCCCATGGCTTTGTTTAAGGAGGTGAGAAGTGGTAAGCCCTGTGAAGTGGGCCAGAAAGCTCCCCTGGGCAGCTGTTGGCTCACAGACTTGGGTGGAAGAAAGAGGTTTCTCTCTCTCTCTCTCTGAAAACTTACAAACTCTGCCCCCTCAGAGAGCTTTCCTCACACCCTCAACTGTGCAGAAGTAGAACTCCTTCCCCAGACGCTGTGTGAGGGTGTCTAACCTGGGCGAGTCACAGAGGCATGGTCTGTGCAGGAGGTGGCAGTGGAGCTGACTGATGCCAGGTGAGTGACCTCTGAGACCTCTTTCCATCCTCATCTCTCACACTTGTAAAGGCTGGAGGAGTGGCAGTGGATAACTACACAGTTGTCACCCACAGAGGTCTTCCCTGTCTGTACACAGTGAGAAAAAGATTCCGAAGACCTACTTTCCCTGTGGGTCACACAGCACAGGGGTCAGGAGTGTTGCACATGTGTGTTCTTTTACTTGAGAACTCCTGTCTGCAGATGAGGGTCAGGAAGGAGGAGAAGTTAAAGAGGGTGAGAGGAGATGCCCATGGAGGACAGAGCCTGAGAGTAGACCACACACAACCTTCTACTCCCTTTCCGAGTGTTAATTCCTGACAGTTGTGCTGACTCTGCCATTGACCAGCTAGTCAGCCACTTTGGTTTGGCATGTGACTAAGTTCCCTACAACAGCTGCCTGCTCCTATGATGGGTTTTTTGGGGCAGTAATGCTCTCTCCCCATTGGCCAAGGAATGGTGACATGGATTTCAGTGCTCCTTCAAAGAT